GGAACAAAGGACAGTGTTTTCGAAGGCATCCGATTTATCCAGAGCCAGATGTGGTGAGCCAGTATTAGCGTACTGAAGCACTAGATTGGCAAATTATTATCTTTGCACACAGGACGATGACAGTGATCCATTCAGAAAACATTCTCCTCGAGAATATCTATGTCAACAACACCGATACTGAACATGGTCCTGGATTCAACTACTCTCTCATCGTCAACGTGAGCCCGCTCTAAAATATGTCGCGTTACATTTCACCCCCTCCCTCGCAGACGGACGGCGCGGACACGGTGTACGCTAACAACGTAACTTTTCGTGGCTGGACAGTGGAAAACGGCGATGATTCAATTGCAATGAAAGCAAACAGCACGAACATCTTGATCGAAAACTGTAATTTCTACACCGGACTTGGTGTTGCAATTGGTAGTATTGGTCAATATGGTAAGCATTTCAATATCTATCTTCACTCGCTTGATTCACTTTCAATGCTCCACTTCCAGACGGAGCCTTTGAGACAATCCAAAATGTAACCGCCCGCAACATTTCCATCACCAACATGCCCTTCGGTGCCTACGTCAAAACCTGGACCGGTGTATCCACTGGCTATCCACCTAATGGGGGCGGTGGAGGCTTAGGTTTCGTCTCCAACATCACATTCACTGATTTCACCCTCCACAACGCCACTGGTATATTCCTGATCACACAATGTACGTCGTACAATGGAATTACAGGAAACTGCGATACTTCGAAATTCAATTTGAGGAATATCAAGGTGGAAAAGTGGAAGGGGTTCGCTAGTAGTGCTGTAGTGGGGAGTATGCAGTGTAGTGCGGCGAGTCCGTGTACGGGGATTGAGATTGAGGATGTGGAAAGTGGGATTGTGGATCCGGTGAATGGGACTAGGCCGGTGAACTACTTGTGTGATAGTGTGGTGGATCCTGTTGGATTTAATTGCACGGGTCCACCGTGGGCGGAAAGTAACCGGCGTTGAGAACGATTTGGGAAGTGTGTACACATGCACCTATATGTACCTATGAACATACCGCTTTTCTATTCTATTTCTGATTCCAGAAGTACATACATAATCCCTTGAATAAAAAGACATAAAACACAGTCAGGCAAGAATTGAACATGATAAATATTATCAAGAAATAGCGACAGTAATCTGATCTGCAAGTAGTACATACATAATTCTTCCGATTTTCTAAATATCAAGTGGAACTAATTCCATTGGAAGAATATTCTAACAAGAATGAAAAAAACTTTCCATTAATTCCAACGGATAACGCTTCGTCAACAACGACATTGCAATAACAGACGTTAAGTATAAAGTAAACAGAGAACATTTTAATTTTATATACCCATATAATGACCAAACGAAACGAGAAAGTGCAGGTTCCCTAACGGGAACATGCCTAGGGACTTAGTTGCAAGGAGGAGGAGGAGGATGGGTGAGGAGAAGGAGTAGGTAAGAGGCATCAGTAGATGGGGAAGGGAGGCTCGAACCAAGCAAGTCTACAGGTCTCGGACCGAAGGAAAGGGTCTCGGACCAAAGGAAGTAGGGACAAGAATGTGGGCGATGCGCGGAGGAGGAGGTCGTACGTACGTACAGAAGATAAGACAGCAGAGATAGCGTACTTGAAACCCTCTCAGGCAAAAACGATGAAGTCTCTCTTTTCGTCTTCTTCCTCTTGGTCATCACCCCAATAACGACTGAGATCGAACCAACCACCATGGGCGTGTCTGTTTCCGTGACCTTTAGAAAACCCATTTCCATGCCCGCCTTCCATTGCCGAGGAAGGGACTGAGTCAGTTCCTTCAAATCCCTCAAATTGATCGACACCTGAACCATTCGATAACCCATCCATATCCATGCCCTCACTGACACCGATCTCACCCAATACATACGACGCAGCGACGGGAGCTGGGCTCGAATCTTGCACCGAGAAATCCAAATGCGGCCGTCTCGACGTTTGTGCCATCCGGTGAGTGACGACGTGGGTAAGCATTACGAAGAGGATGAGGAAGAGGATGAGTAATGTACGAGCGGTTTGGGCGCGCAATCCGACCCCGAATGAGGCGTTGGGATTGGATTCAGCAGCGACAGCGGCTTTGGTCCAACTAGATCAGAAGAAAAAGAGAAAGTATAAACTGGTTGTTATGCGTACAACATAAATGAATGACAACGACTTACTGCAGTCTAGCGCCGAGCCTTTCAAAGAAACCAGGTTCTTTTGGTGGGGCAAGGAAAGCAATACTGTAGTCGTGTGCAGAGGAAGGCGAGGACGGGGTGACAATGATTGCTGGCAGAGGTGACTTTTCTGACGCGAGCGGCAGAGAGAGATCTATCATGAACGGATGGGGAATATTGATGGTAGTGAGTATGGTAGTTAGGAAGTTAGATTGAAGCCATCAAATGTACCTAAAGGCGCAGGTATAAGAGTATAGTCCAAGCGCTGTGGTAAGCGGTGAAGACGAGGCGCTGAAAGCACAGCAGCAGTTCAAATTAGTACAGGCATGGACCAATGATCAAATGAACTGCATACCAGGTTGACGAGGCATACTATCTTCAATGTACTACGTGTCCTGTAATTCTGTCTATAACACCGTGACAAATCGAAGGGCCAAACAAATAGCTGTTTTGTGGTAGTGAGGTGTATGAGAAGTTATAGGGTAGATTTAAAACCCTATACAAGCCGAATCAAAGAACGTAGATTGAGCAAAAGAGCGTGTAGGAGACTAGCAGCGTAGGCCAGAAGAGAAGCGGCGAAGGTGGTCGATTGGAGAAAATCCGAAAGACGACGAGGACAGAGGAAAGATAGAAAGACAAAGCAAGGAACGGGAGAAATTGGTGGAAACGATGGGAAAATTGATCGATTGATCAACATTCAATGCATATCGGCAAACACCGAGATTTACCAGAGAAAATCCTCCCGAGCACAAGCAAGTATGTATGTACATATGCATTTGTATGTTGATTGGCAAAAATAACCTTCCCTCGGATTTCGTAGGTAGCAAACGGAGGACTATCCAGTTAACCAGGCTACCACAAACAATTTGAACCAATTGTTATAGACCCCGTAGCTCAGTGGTAGAGCGTGAGATTCCAGATCCCTGGAGTTTCCTCAAGGTCATCCGTTCAATCCGGGTCGGGGTCATGCCGTGTTCTACTTTTATTTTTTCTGCTTGATTAGTTGCTGTATAGTGTCAGTATGTAACATTTCAATGTACATAGTAGTACGTCTCTTTGACCTCCTGAGCGCTCCCAAGCTGTATGTCTTTTTCTCAAGTAGGCGGCCATCCAAACTCGATCCAATTGACCGAAGATGGGTCACTTCTCATCAAACCGGCGTTGCCATTAGAACATGAATTCTACACACTCATGGCGCAGGCGAGGGCTATGGATTCAATGGGTTTGGCAGGAGGTGAGGGAGATGGGGTTGGCAATGAAGGAGCACTGAACGAACGAACTTTACACGGTCTCAAGAACCTTGAACGATTGAGCAGATTCGTGCCAGAGTTCTATGGGACATTGAGGGAAGAAAGTATCGATGTAGAGACGTTGAACGCGGATTCGAAGGACATTGGTGAAGGAGGCATTGGAGCGATGATGTTGCAGGATACATCGAATGCTATGGTCGACGCTGTTGCCCGAAACAAATCTTCACGTCAGCATCTGGTGTTATCGAATCTGCTTCACTCTTTCACTAAACCCAACGTCCTTGACCTCAAGCTCGGCACTGTCTTGTATGATGAGCTAGATCTAGAATGTAGCGAGGCCAAGAAGGCTCGGATGATAAAGACGGCCAGAGAAACAACTAGCGGAGTGTGCGGGATACGAATAACTGGATTTCAAGTAAGCACTGTCCCTTGTACTTTTCCCAACGTGTCTCTCGAAGATCTTCAAGCTAACGATTCGAACTTCGGACGCATATATCTTCTCACTTCCGTTCCTCTTCAACTTTTATTTATTTGTGCTTGCTCATATCATTGTACTCTCTTTATGTCACAGGTTCATCCTCAACCTTCCGCTTCCCCTGTGAGCACCGACACGAACGCAGTTTCTAAACAACTGACTCCAATCATTACAACTAAATTATACGGCAAGTCACTCAAGAAAGAACAGCTCCCTGAGGGAACGAGGAGAGTCTTTCCAGTTTTGGGTGAGCCTGTCCCTATCGCTATCCCTGGACCTACCTCTGCTGCGGGATCTGCTTCGTCTTCCGGCTCATCAACACCATTCGAAGCCTACACCTCCTCGACCGCTTCCTCGAACGTCCCATACCCTGATTCCGCAATCAAACAGCCTCGCACAGACCTTGGTCTTCCTCCTGACCTTCTTCTTCCGATCTTACGCTCAATCCATACCTCGCTTACACACCTCCATTCAATCATGAAGGAAGTCGAACTACGCATGGTTGGAGGCAGTTTGCTGGTCGTATGGGAAGGAGACGAACAGAGGGCACGGGAGGGAGTGGAGTGGATGAAGGAGAGAGAAATCAAGATCACGGAGAGAATACGACAGGAAGCTGATGTTGAAGAGAATGAAGACGATGATAGTGAGTATCTTGATAGCGACGATGATGACGAGGGAGACACGTCCAGTGACGAAGACGAGGAGAATGTGTCTGCGCACGAACGTAGTCCCGATGGCGCTGGCGCGTCAACAGATGAGACTAACATCGCTTCAAAATCCAAATCCAAACCTTCTCCGAAGTCCCATCGCCGGAAACCGTCTGCACCATTTGCTTTATCCCTCATCGACTTTGCGCACACACGATTCGTTCCTGGGCAAGGTCCTGATCTCGGAGTGTTACTGGGGTTGGACACGTTTGCTGAGCTAATTGAGGGAAGAATTCGAGAGGTTGAGCCTATCGAGGAAGGAAGACAAGGCTCGAGATGAGGCAAGGAGAGTAGTTATTCATTTAGTACGGACATCTGCTGGGAAGATCCATGAATTCTTTGCGATGAAAGAAAAAAAGCTAAAAATTAGCACAAGCATATTCCGACACGGGGAATCGAACCCCGGGCTATCGCGCTCGAAGAATGAGAGGCGATAATGTTAGCCACTACACCATATCGGATTATACCTATACCCCTATTCTGCAATCAGAACGCAAGTACACAATGCTGCACGATGCATAGGGAGGACAAGCAACGAAAGGTCAAACAGGTTACCTTGTATAGAGTGAAGTAGAATCACACTGCGCAAAGAACTCCTACCAATATTGAGTGCCCGTCTGTCGACGGATCTCGTATTCTTCCAGAAGTCCCTCACCTTCTGGTGATAATATGTATATACAGCATTCTACTACATATATAGTAGGTCCCGGATGCTCGGTGACGCTATCATGACCAAATTTTTGCTCTCTGACTTGAGGAGATTTTATTGACACCAAGAATTTCGGTTCGACGGGATTATAATAGCAAATAGGGACAGTGCCTCCAAGCCCTAGGGAGCCACTATATTGTAGAAAATTGAGCCTTGAAGCTTGAAGTGTGAGGGACAGGTTCAGGAGCATCCGAGGGATCTACAGTGTATGCACTTCACCAAGAAATATAAATATTCGTTCGTTCTTCTGAATGTTATATCTGATATTCTGTCATTTTTACAATGGATCGCTCATGTATATCGATAGGCGTACAGCGTGTTCTACCGTTGAATAGAGTACATACAATTTTAGATTTTTCGAGATATCGGACTTGAAGAAGAAGAAGAAGAGAGACATGAGATGAGAAGTCGAGGAGAAGGCTACGGAAACAGGGGCGGCGGGGGAGGAAAAGTCTGAATGGGAAGAATATTATGACAATCGACAGGAAACAAACATGATATGACACAAAAACGGATACTCGGAGGGGGGAGTGGAGACGATTCAAGTGAGGGAGCAATGATGGATGGGAGAAGGGAGTTATGAGAATAATTCAAGACTGAAATCAAGGTAAAGTAAAACATTCATATTCTACTCTACTTGCAGGGAAACATAGGGTGAAGGGGGAGAGGGAGTAGGGGAAGAAGAAGAAGAAGAAGAAGAGAGAAAAGGAAAAGGTGCGATTTAAAAAACACTGCTGCCTACCAGCCACCAAAAAAAAAAAGAAAACCACGTCCTTATATATATATAATTGGCGTATCGGGAGAAATATCGAGCGGAATACATCGTTGACATCGCAAAAAAAGAAAAAGCCGTAAGCCCAACACATATAAACCCACAGCCAACGAAAAAAAAAAGCAACGACAATGTGGATGTAAGAAACAAAGATGCCTGTGAAGATCCTGCATGACCAGGCGGATTCGGCATGGAATGGGGGCGGAAGGTGATTGGGAGGGTTGGAGAGCGGGAGGTGATAGAAGTGCGAGGAGCAAGGCAAAAGAGGAAGATCATATAATCGTGGAATGAATATCGGCCATATGATTTATGGGGACGATGACGGATGGAAATAAGAACCGCACAACACGAACGAGGAGCGATTGTGTTCTTAACGAAAAAGAAACCGCTCAATACCCATACCCGCCTGTCTGCTTCGCCGCGCCCGCATTCACAGTCTGAGAAACCGCCACACCTCCCTTACCAGATGCGGCCACGCCCATACTAATTGGCACAGTCTGTGCAGCATTTGATGAAACTGTTCCTAGACCATTGTTATTCAGCTCTTCCAAGCTCTTTTTTTCTTTTTGAGAAGAAGTTGCTTTTACCTAAATTTATCAATCCCGCGCCTGTTCCTGCTCCGGGACCTCCGACGCCGACACTGCTGATGCCCGCTCCGCCCACCAGGGCCGATAGACGGGATATCTCTTCTCTCGAAGAGACGAGAGCGGACGTTAGTCGCTCGTTTTCTTGAGAAAGGTATTCGACTTTTGCTTGCAGTTGAGCGAGCCAGGCTTTTTTACGCTGACGGCATTTTAGGGCAGCTATTGGGTCATAATTAAGTAAAATAGTTCAGAAGCCAAAGTCGTAAGACAAGACGGTATGACCTACCCTGTCGATTTCTTTCTAAAAAGTTCTTCCTTTTTTCTTCCTCTGTCTCTGGCTTTTTGTTCCTCCCTCTTCCACCTGTTGTCGTTTGTTGCTGTTGCATCTCCCTCATGACCTCGTCTTCGTCATCCTCATCTCCATCATCTTCTGGATCGAATTCCTCAAACTCTGGACTCGCCTGTTTTCGTCTACCACCTGAGGATTTGGCACGTTTCGACGACCGGTTGGTGATCGTAACGGAATTGCCATTTATTGCTTCTGAGTTTTTCCGTTTGGATCCACGTTTACCGGTTGCACCGTTCGAATTCCCGATGGTGTTTGTCTGAGCGGAGTTCGCTCTCGCCTGCTCCTCCTCCCTCTTGGTGAGCTCCTGATGAGCTTGGCTGAGAAGGAACAGACCGTTGGCAGCTGTCGACGTAGCATTGTTCGCGCTATCAAGGTATAAGTTGTTATGCGGGTTGGCGTTTTCGTTATTCGAATGAGTATGTGAGTGGTGAAGATGCGAAGGTACTGTGGGCGGGTTGGTATAAGAGTTCTGTTGCTGCTGACCCTGCCCTGGCTGACCCTGACCTTGGATCTGGCCTTGAGAATTATTCAAGACCCCAGTAATGGCGTTAAGTGTATTAGGTGTAATGGTGCCGCCAGGTCCAACACCGTTAACGCCATTCAAGTTATTCATACCGCTGTTATGCATCAGAGCTAGGAAGGCAGCTGTACCTGGAGAAGCAGGAAACGATACTGGACCACCGACGAGTGGTGTAAGACCCGTCCCACTCAAGCCATTCAATGCCGGAGTCAAACCTGTTCTAGGAGTCAGGCCCGTGCGTGGAGTAAGACCAGTACGGAAGGAAGAGGGGTCAAATTGCAGTCCTGGTGGTGCAAGAGTTGAAAGAGGATTCGAGAGATTCGACGAAGGGGCATTAGGATCCTGAGGTCCAGTTAGCATGGCTGGGCTCAACGGACCACTTCTCAAACTCGAGTTAAACCCAGCTGCAGCCCAAGGGTGTCCGAATGAAGATGATTGATCAGCTGGAGAGGATATGGCTGCGACTGGAGGGAGCATAGGTCGAGGAGATATGCTACCATTATTGGAGACATTGGAGTTGGGAACGGATGCAGTTCGGCTTTGCGGGCGTTGCTGGTGGTCATCGGATTCCCGATCGGCAGATGAGCCGGATTTAATAGTGAGGATAGATTCGTTAGAGGGAGGTCCAAGATCGTCCTCTATCTGAACTTTTTTGTCATTTTTAACTTTTCTGCCGGCTTTGTCTTTTGCTGCTCGTTCTCCACGGACATTGGAGTGATTGGCAGACCTCGGAGCGAAACTTTGCTCGAATGGATTTGGTTCCAAGTCGAAATCAGAACGATTTTGACGCTGTATAGATGGAGGCTGCTTTGAAGATGATGAAGAAGCTGAGAGTGGTGGTGAGCCTGATATGCTTCTCGGTTTTGAGACCATGATAAGTTGCTATACGACAATGGTGAGCATTCATACATTATACATAGAATGTACGAGACAATCGAGATTGTAGAATGAGAATGAAAGTGCAGATGATTATTTGTTGGATTAAGAGCGCATTCGACGACGATAAGCTCAATAACATAGAAACAAAAAGGTAAATTATAAAGTGTCGTCATCACTTTCGAGGTTATACCCCACGACGAGGAGGTCACCACCAAGAAAATCAAAGAAAATCTAGCCGATAATGTGCTCACCAACTCACCTTGAAAAGAAATTGTGACGCACTTGCTCTTCCGCTCTCTTCGAATTCGTTGAGCAGTGACGTTGTACGGGTCTGGAGCTCTTAGGGTGTTTTGGAAAAAAAAAAAGGAGATGAGAGTTATGACGAAGGCTGACGTCGTTAAGTGCCTCAATCTATCCTGTGTATGTAATCAGAACAGAATTCAAACCGGGAAAGGCAAACAAAGACAAGTAAACAAGCCTGAGATTTGCAATTCAAGTTTCTACCGAAGTTCTCACGCGTTGCGCCGCCCTATGAACGCGTTTACGACAGCGCTCAACCTCGACGAACCGACTGGAACAAAGACAGAGAAGGGCGTGCAGGACACTGTATTCTGCATTGGTATTCGGAAAGTCGGAATGAAACCCTAAAACACATTGCCCAGCTGCTGTAATCATTCATTAGCTTCCGTCAACATTTCAGCCTCGAGGCAGGGAAAAATTAGTTCTTCCGTAACGATCCGCAAACCTACGTGGCGTTGAAAGTGTAACGTCGTGGTTGCGAACTGTATGTAGCTCGCACACGCATTGTGAGAGAAAGTATGCAAGATAAGTATGTTAACAGTTCAAGGGTGAAGGAGAAGGCATAATCATGTAAGAATTACAAAAAGTAACTGGATGAATGACCCCGACCCGGATTGAACGGATGACCTTGAGGAAGCATCAATATTCTGGAATCTCACGCTCTACCACTGAGCTACGGGGTCTGTAGAGCTTGAGCAAATACGAATGACTCTACTCGAGAACGGTTCTGTGATTCCAAAGCAAGGCCATAGCAAAAAAACAAAGCGAAGTGCGAGATAACAAGGATAATAAGCCATAGGTATACATAAACGGATACAAAACATTCCAATGAAAGAAACAAAACAAGAAACGACAAGAGAGGAGACTAAGTATGTAGAAGAAGGGGAGGAAATGACACAAGTGTTCGAAGGAAAAATGCAAAACATGAATGCTGTATCAAACCCCAACAACACCCTTGACATGACCCTTACCTCCGATCAATCCAGCCGTGCCCGTTTCTGCTTCCCATGAAGTTCCCCATCTACGTCCCCGACCCCATCTTCATCACGCCCAAACCCACGTCCTGAGAACCCCAGCCCCCCAAGTCCACTATACACCAAATCCGAAACCTTCCTAGTTTTCCTCTCGCTCCCATTTGCATGTCCTCTCTTCGGCGTCGTAGTCGTCCCTCCTATCCCTCCCGAAGGCGTACGATACACGGACCCACTAATATCCACACCACCAACTCCAGTCTTTCCATTCAAACTCATACCCAACATCTTTCGTTTATCCGAAACCGTAGAAGGACTTTTCATCCCAAGAGTAGTGATAGTCGACACTTGTTGTGGTAGTTGTTTCTTTCTGGGTG